GGGGGGCTCGCCATGCCAAAGCCAGTATCAGTGACCAAAACAAGGAAATTTACATTTGAATATTCATATTCTCATCATTATGCAGTAAGCTTCTTTAAAATGATGGGTCATTTACTAGAATCTATTTACTATTACCAAAATTATGAGCTACTCTGTAATAAAGTATACAACATACTGACTATATTTCATGTTACTTAATCAGTTTGACATTTAACAACAATACACTGGTTTGGAGATTGCATGTCTCATGTGATAGATGACTGTGATGATGATGATGATGATGATGATGGCAATGATGAAATTTATGATGATGATGACTTATTTATTATTCTTTCTTTTTACTAGAATGCATTTCAGTAGCGTAGTACTGCTTTTAAAATGGTCCAGTTACAAAGTATAGTAAAGTAAAATGTAATTAAATTCAAAGTAAAATAAACATACAAAATCAAATATATCAAAAATGTACAAAGGTATAACATCTTAACTGAATCACATTGAATTAAAATAGATGGAATTTTTAATTCATTAAATTTTTTTTTAGTTGTAGTAGTTCCAATTTCAGGAGGTAAATAATTTCATTGTTATTGTTATTATAATGATGATGATGATGATGAAGTTTATGATGTTGGTGATGATGATGATGATGATGATGATGATGATGATGATGATGATGATGATGATTGAATACCACACATAATCACTGCAAGCAGTGTTCATCGTTCTGAAAATAAAAATAAAACCTCAACAGAACCTCATAGTATATCACTGCAGTGCTTTTGCTTGCAATTTAAGGCATAACAAGTATAATCCACAGTGTGCCTCTAGCAATCTATAAGACTCTAACTAATTCAATTTTGGAATTAGTTAAATCTACAATATAACTTTAAAGTTTCTAATCATTCTTGGTTTACTTGTTTTTATCTTTCATTTAGCATGACGTCTGAATGTTTAGTTTTTTTTTCTGTAATGTGAAACTTAATTGTATTTTATGAGAATGGAATTAATTCAATTAATTCAATCAATCAACTAAGTATTCCTAACAGCAACTGCCAGCAGATTTGGCTTGAAGGCACTCATAATAAAAATAAACCAGTATGCTTTATACAAATGTTTACTGGTAGTGTATTCCAAATGAGGGGTACAGCAGTTGAGCATATGAACTACCACCCTCCCAACCACCCTGATTAGTTTGAATCTGGGCTCAACAAGCAGTTTAACCATAATTGTCAAAGTATACAAATAAGTTAATGACGTCTGAATTAACAGTGGAATGGCAAATCATTCACCGAGCACAAGAATCTAGAACAACACTGAAATAAAATCAACCTAAAAAAGGAAATTGCTAAAACAATCTATTTTTATACATATACCGCCTATGGTAAAATCTATAAATACTAAAAATAATTAATATATTATCAACTTCAAATAAGACATATCAAAACAAATCACTTTTCTCTGATTTTAGACCTAATTTAATAATCCTTAAACTTAGTTCTGGTTAATAAAGGGTCTAAGCTAAAAATATAGGAACAGTATTAACACAGTCCGTTTCATTCTCAATTTTGAAATTATTATTATTGATTTGTTTTTCTTAAATTTTTTTTTTTTTTAGAATCTATTAAGAATCATTAGTTAAGAATCTATCTTTCATATTATGGTAATCTTGATTATTGTATATTTATTTTAAAATTAATAATGTATAATTAAGGATATTTCTTTTGATAATTATTTATATTATTTATATTATTATGTTTTTTAATGTAAAGCAATCAAATTCAGCCATTGGCTGCTGATTGCTAATCTTATACCAGAATAAAATAAAATAAAATAAAAAAACAGTTTCTCGGGTATAAGCTTAAAGCCCACCTCAGGCGTAAGCCCAGCACTAATCAATTTTATGCACCAGCCTTTCATTCACTCAGTTTTTATTACCAAAACTCATTGCAGTAAAACATAACTGAACAGCAAGTAGACTTACAAGATTATAGACAATATCCTTCCAGTTTCCATGGGGAAAGGCCCAGGATATGATATTTAACAAATACTCTCAGAAAAAAAGCATATTTGTTTTGAATTAGTCATACAGTGCTGAAAATTGCCATTTGATTATAAGGGAGATCCCCCAGGTACAAGCCCACACCCCCACCCCCCAAAAAAAATTGCCTAACTTTGTGTTCAAAGGGGGGAAGGGATGTCTTATACCAGAGGATTCTGCTAACTTGCAAGGGAAAAAATGTTCAATGGTTACATGATTACAGTGCAAATCGGCTCAGCTTGTGTTTGGAACACAATTTTACACGACACATCAAAAAATTTTTAAAATAAAAATTTGCCTATCCAAGTAACAATATTTAGATCGCCAATTCCTAATATTGTGGTCTAAAAGCACAATTTGGACCATACTACTAGGCCATAAAAAATTTTCCCAAAACCCTACCAGGGATTTTTTATTCCAGGACCCCCATCATCATCTAGTCAGCCCTTTTGTTTGGACCCCTCCGTCTGACATAACTTGTCGGCACATTTCTGGAGCCACCGTTGTAGCCATAGCCAGCTGAGTTGTAAAAATAAGCAAAAATCATGAATTTGTGGAAATGGGTTAGTTTCTGGGATATTAGCGCTTGCTCATGCGAGTGCAGGTGACTATAATTTATGGCAGACTACTGCATGTAATTAGTGTACCAGTACACCATATCCCAGCAGGCAATTGAAAAAATAGCGACAGTATAGGAAAATACAAGAAAGCAGTGATCTTTGCTTTATTTTACAATACTGTACTAAAGCCACATGAATGATATTCAAATATGACATGGCTGGTACAATAGTAAGAACTTCAATTAAAAAAACCAAAATCATATAGTACATACATATACATTCTTTTCCGCAATTTATGCCCTAAAATAATAGAAAGAATTGCCTGACAACTTACAAGAATTGGTAGCTGCATGGCGTTTCTTATAGGGACTCTGTTCATCTCTCAATTGGTGCTGCTTCATCTTCAATTTGTTGAGGTTTTGAGCTAGACATCGACTAAGTTGCTCCAGAGCAGCCTGTTTGAAGAGAACTTCAATTATTAAACATGTATCTATTGCTATAAGTATACTAGGAAATAAAAATGTTAGAGTTCTCTTGAACTTCTCTCGATATTGATGGGATACCCTTCCATCATTTCCACCTCCTGGTTTTAGAGTATTGTCCACACTATCAAATTTCTTTAAGAAGCTCTAATGCTCTAATGCAAGGAAATCACATCCTGACTGAAAGTTCTAAAACAGTTTTACAAGAATATTTTTTCTTGTAAAATCATATCATACAGCACTTTCCCAACTATAAAATAAAAAAATATATAAATAATAAATAAAATATCAAAAGTAGTGTTAAAACACTGTAAAATGGTTACCTTTCGAATTGGATGTGTTTCATGTTGTCTAATAGCTCTAACTTCCTCTGAGCATTTGTCACAATTGTAAAGCAACTGATCCAAGTTCACATTGTTGGGCTTTTCAGATTCATCAGCAGCAGCTTTTAGCCTAAGTTCAAAGGTCATATTGATCAATATCAACTAGTTTCTCACGTATTTACAGACAAATTAAGACAAAACAAGGACATAACCAGGTGCAAGACGAAAAATGGTAGACACATTGGTGAAGGCAGAACACTATAAAATTAGATATTTTTCCACTTATTTATTATGTTTTGCTTATGGGGTTCCAGTCAGAAAACCAATTAAGGCTTATTTAATCCTCCATCTTTTTATTGCATTCTCTCTTCCCACCACCCCCACACTTTTTGGCTTTCTGTTGTCTTTTTTTCATTTATTATAATTTGTTTTCATGTTTACCGAGAAAAAATTTTATGTTTAAAAGGGAAATAAACTTTTATTTGGTTCATCATTCATTTTCACTCTGCCCTAAAAATATGAACAATGCAACAAAAATATTTTTTAAATATATTAATAATAACTTTAAATCTTAATGTATGATTTAATCAGTTTGCACCAGCCTTTTCTTTCTACAGCATCCTGGATCAAACAGTACTACTGCTGTTTGTTAAAACTGATAACAAACTCACCATGACACAGCATCTGAGGGGAAATAGATGACATATATGACTTATAAGACCAAAATTATTTAATTGTGTGAATGCATTCAAAAACAAGCGGAAAGCACACTACCTAGTCAGGGGTGTCATTTTGAAAATACATATAGGCAGGGACAAAACAACTCCCTGATAAAGGCTAGCTGGTGGTGGTAGAACTTGTAAAAAATAGACGAATGAACTTGTGACAGTTGAGGGGCATTTTCTAGGCCTAGCAATAGGCTAGGCTAAAAAAATAAAATTTGTGCGGAAATCGGCCCTTATTTTCGAAATGCGTGAAACAAATTTCTAGGACTAAAATTTTAAGATTCCCTGCGCAGCTGGACAAGGCCCAAGGGCCGTTAAGCAACATCACTCCAATTTCTCCATTTGTTGAGTCGGCCTTATAACTTATGTTCAATGAATACTAAATCAATCGCCTAATAAAACATAGTTTGCAATTGATTCATAATTTTACTCAGTAAGGGCCCTCCATTGTAGGTTACATGCGTCTGACTTATAAAGTTGTTATCGACCTTACGAGCCGATAATGTAACTTCTGTATATTTCCAACTCCTGCAATGTAACTATTTCCAAACTCTGCTATTTCATACCGGTAGTGTAGCTTGTCGAAAAATTGAGTGTAGTACTCCTGGTTTTAGAGTATTGTCCACACTATCAAATTTCTTTAAGAAGGTTTTTTTTTTTCACTATCAAATTTTCTGCTCTAATGCAAGGAAATCACATCCCTGACTGAAAGTTCTAAAACAGTTTTACAAGAATATTTTTTCTTGTAAAATCATATCATACAACAATTTCCCAACTATAAAATAGAAAAATATATAAATGTAACTTCGAATTGGTGTAGATAATAATAATAATAATAATAATAATAATAATAATAAAGGCTTTGTTTAAACATGGAAAAGCCTGTATCACCCAAAAGTGTTCTTCTACAAGGCTGTGATTTTGATGAAATACTAAAAAGATTAACACCATTAACTAAACAATTTTTATAAAAGTAAACATAAACAAATACAAAAACTTACACCACTTGGTAATAACTTTTTAAATGAATAAACATTTGTTGCATTTTGAACTGCACTTTCAAGACTATTCCATAATTTGGCACCACGATACGAAAACCTCGCTTTTTGTACTCCGTTTTGGGTTTTTCTAAACACAAGACATCATTAGATCTTGCAATGGTATTTTTCTTCCTTAGGGGTGCTTGATTATGGAATATCTTATACAAAGTAATAGGCTCATTTCAATACAATTGGTCTTCAAGTTTATTCCAGTTTAAGTTTTGCAGGGCTTGTGTACTTGAGTCATATTTTCTTACTTTTGTAATTATTTTAGCTGCCATGTTTTGCAGCACTTGTAGTTTATTGTTTTGTTTTTGGCTTGATCTGCCCCACACAACATAAACAACAACAACATTAACAATAACATTGCAATAGTTAAATTGTGCAGCAACAATACTTTCGTACATTAAACATAATAGGTGTTTAGGAATAAAGCCTGATGTTTTTTTTAAGTAGTACAAACCCGGCAAGACTTTACATTTAACATTATCTATTTGTTGTTCCCATGACAAATGTACATCAATAACAATACCTAGATGTTTACAGCTTTTTACTCTCTGCAATGGTATATTTTCTATGTTTAAATCCAAATCAACATTTAATAATTTTGTTAGACTTTGATGTGTTCCAATGAACATGCATTGTGTTTTCTGTACATTCAGACTGAGTTTGTTATGTGCTAACCATTTCTTAATATTTACTAAATCATTATTAATTTTCATTAACACTTCATTTATATCGGAAGATGCAAAGTGAAGAGCTGTATAATCTGCATACATATTAATTTGTACACTATTTACATGCTTAGGTAGATCATTCACATATAATGTAAATAACAGAGGACCCAAAATTGATCCCTGAGGGATTCCACATACACTATTACATTGACTAAATTGAACTCCATTTACACAGGGTCAGGTGTGTACAATCACAAAGGTAGTTTCTAAACCAATTTATAATTAGACGCAGGGTTCCCGGAATGCCACCCTCAGCGGCGAATGCGAAGCACAACTCAGGGTCAAAAGTGGAACGTGAAATTTGGATATGGTTTTGTAGTCAGATTTGCGAGAAAAACTTCAGCTATCCGTGTTTCTCGACTGAGACGTCAGTGGGAGCTGTAATTTGTATGGCAAGGAGATTGAGCAACCCTTCATTCATATTAAGGGAATTTACGCCCAGAAACTTTGTAGTTATTAATATTTTGGTTATAATAGAAAATATTCATTTTTTGGTGAAGTCACACTCACATTAGTTAGCATGCATACGTCATAAGCTAGATACGTCACCTTTTCCTGGTAAGGCAAACTTTCCCGGCGTGCTTTTTTCATGGATAAACAAACACAAACTGCTTTGCACATGGATGCCTTGCCCAAGGGCTACAAGAGCTGCATTGTTAGCATTGTATAATACTTAAATAAGGTAACTCTGCAAATGAATTATTCTTAGTTATTTTTTTTTTCTTTTTATTTCTTCCAAAAGTGTACTTTCTATCACATATAATTCCACTGTGATTGCACCTTCCAACGTGATTGCACCTTCCTTCCCAGGTGTTCATGTAACATTGACATAATTGTTAGCTAACCAGTTGTGTGTATTTCTTTGAGAAAATGAGTACCACGGCGTACTCATTTTCACAAAGCATTTGCATCCCCTCTTGGAAAGAGGGATTCGAAATAATTGTCGCCATATCTTCGCTAATTAAATTAATCACCGTAATTTAGCTTACACTTATGAATTTAGGGAGCACTTAAAATGTGAAATAATCATCTCTCTACCCGACAAACTCCGAACTTTATTCATTCATTAGGCCTACATAATAGTTTCATATTGCTGTACTATATACTCCAACATCACTGGCGCATGGTAACAACCAACTGACTGTAGACCATTTCCGGTCACACATTACTCTCCATAACACAGCACCCCCTAGTTCCGTCACCTCTGGGTCTAAGCATAGTCTTTCAATTAGTCAAATGCATTTAAGTTTATGGGTGCGTGCTATTGTATATCTGGGAGTACGTGATGTGTATATATTATGCACATGTATATAACACATTACAGTATAATTAGGCCATATCTAGAAGAATAATAAGAATCTCTTGAATATTCAATCTTCCAATTGGAATCTTGCCGAGAAATTCAAATCTCTTGAAACTTACCTCGCAACTGGAATTATTGGTAATTTTCGTGAAATATATCCTTCCAAATGTTTAAATTATTCATAGTAGCCTGTTTGGTGCCTTGATTATATTACCTAGTTTATGATGCATCCTTTCTCGGCATTTGAGTTGACCTATACTTAACTAACGTTAAATTAATGCTTTTCAATCGCATAATAGTACACATACAGTACTTTACATCAGATTCTTAATTTTGTTTTAACCACCATGGTCGGTTACTAAACTTCAAACTAATTGATGTTATAAATTTATAAATATAAGAGGTGTGGCATAAACGATTTACCGGTGCTTGCTTTGTATACTAACACTACGGAGCTCGCAGTTTGTATGTCTTATTGGAAATTTCTCGCCACATTGAAGCCATTTCACAAACCCTAAATGATTGGGTATACTGAGAGATAATTAGGTGGAAGTACTTTAATAAAGAAAGCTAAGTTAAATATAGTGCCCTTAGCACCCTTTCAACCACGTGTCGATGGCCTAGAAAATTACGGTACTTGCGCGGATCCAGATAATACTGTAGACGTAATTTTTTCTTCAGAATACACAGCCATTCGAAGTATTTAAATTTTTCCTTTGTTTTTAACATGCATAACACTAACATCCTAATTTTCTAGCCTCCTTTCTTGGAGGTGTAATTTTCGCTTACTCTACCTCTGAACTCTCCAAGATTTCACTACCAAATGCGTTTTTTTTTTTTAGCAAAGCCGATGCTCATGTGACTGTGATTGTGAGTTTCCTACCTATAGGCCTAGGCCATTTTCGCAAAATTTGAAATGAACGTTTTCCAATAACCTGGCAACTACCACTGGGGAACTTCCAGAGGCCTTACGCACTTCGCGCTACTAGTTACCAGTGTGAGTAAAGTGCACTCTATTTGACATTAGCTAGCTGCTCAGGCTAGGCTAGACTAGGCCCAGGCCACTGCAAGTCCCCCAGTGAGTTGCGAGACGTTGGCGGAACTGTTTCAAAATAAACCCGACAAAAGAGTTTAGGCCTAGGGCCTATGCGACCTGAGGCGGTAAGGCAAGCCTGCTCATGACGGACGCTGTGCGTCTTATTAAACTGCGGTCGTGCGGTGGACCTTTCCTGTCATTCGAACCAACTAGGCCTAGGCCTTTCTACACCTCCTGTTATAACTTATACTCCAACATTTTTGGAGTCCCTTGCCTTGGACGTCGATCTTTACCCACCAGAACCTATATTCTATTACTACTAACTAGGCCTAGGCTAGGACCCTACTACTACTACTACTAGCCTAGGCCTCGGCCTAGGGCCTAGCCTAGGCTACAGCCTGAGCCTATTTTTTTTAGAGAGGCCTAGGACTAGCCTAGGTAGGTAGCCTACTGTACCTACCTACCCGGCCTAGCCTAGGGTCTAGGCTAGGCATAGGGAGACCATTAAAAATATATATATATTTTTTTTTAATATATAAAAAAAATAAACCTTTATATCTGTCCAAAAGAGACATAGGCCTAGCTCAAAATTCACTAGCCCCTGGGTACAACAAGGCAACAAATTCCAAGACTACAGATCAGGTACACTTCCTGAGCTGCAAAGCAGTCGCTTGTAATATTTTTTTTTTCCACAAAACGGCACCGCAGCAGTCTATCAGTTCTTTTACTTTAAACAGAGGGCGGCAGACTCAGAACTTCTAACCAATCGGATTGCTTATCTCTATTGGCTTATACCTAGCGATCGAGTACGGTATACGTACAGTATACGGTAAACGTAGTGTATTCATGGACATTTATTCATCTTCATTATTGAACATTGCAATGGGAAAAAAATGATCCATGACGCCATGGGGTACAAATTGTGTGTTTGCTCGTGATTACTCACAATTAGGTTGAATTTCGGACTACTGTATATTGATTTTATTATTATTATTATTATTATTATTATTATTATTATTATTATTATTATTATTATTATTATTATTATTATTATTATTATTATTATTATTATTATTATTATTATTATTATTATTATTTTAAGTATTATCGATAATAATAAAATAAAACATGAAATGACAACTTAAAAAGAGATAAGAAGATATACGTATATATTTATGTATATATTTTTATTAAATTAATAGTGCTATTCTGTTTCCCGTACACTATGCTTACCGCTCAGTTATCTGAACCTTTACTTTGATAATTGATATCTTAGTTCCCACTTAATCAATTCAATTCAATTCAATCCAATCAATTAAATTCAATTTTTTGTCCAATTTTAAAAAGGAAAAGAGAGCGGAAACAATTCATTGCATATTAAAAATATAAAAAATTGTACATACAGTAATGAAAAATAAATATAAAATATAGTATTCAAATACATTAAAATGTGAAAGAAGAATTTGGGTTTAAAATTTATATTTACAAGTATATAACCTTCCTGATGTTTAACTCTTGAAGATAGTAAAAAAAACATTTAATAACAATTTTTCAAATTTAAAAACCTAAAGTGGTAGTGGTAGTGGTAGTTGTAGTGGTAGTGGTAGTAGTAGTGGTAGTAGTAGTAGTAGTAGTAGTAGTAGTAGTAGTAGTAAAAGAAATGTCAGACAGATACTAAAGCTCTCCAGGTTATATTCGTTGTAAACTAGGCCTGTTGATCATCTGTATGATAACGTGGCATTTATATGCAACTTTATCGGTAAAAGTAGTTCTTGTATTATCTACATTTCAGAAAACTTACAAATAAATGAATTATGGTAATTGTTTTGGCAACTTAGGCAAAATTTTAATCATTGCCACTGTGCCGGCCATCTCTCTTCTTTTTTTATTAGACAATTACTCGAGGTAAGACCTCGTTCTGTGCCGTAAATAAATGATGAGGCGATATACAGTAGAGATCAATCACCTTGATATCAGATTTTTATGTGATTACGTCACAGTTGGCCGTCCACACATGGCTAGAACTTGCGTGTCACAGCCATCATTAGTTCCACTTTCTCCCGGCCCTTCGGATATCTATACTACAAAAATAAAGTTTTGTGTTTTTCTCTGTCCACTAAATATCTCCGAAAGATTCAAGTACAATTATGATTTTCACACATGTTGTAGCTACCATCAGCGGGACGAACATCCGCTACATTAGGACTCGATAGGTTATTCTACATCTACACATGCATGTTACAAGCCTCACATGCGCACATTCATAGCCATATATTCAGAGAAAATACCACAACAACGCATTCAAACAATGAACACGTCGGAACATTATCCACGGTCTATTTTGATAGTTATAGGCTTATTACCTTCAATCATGATGAAAAATATTTATCTCATGCCCAACTGTGTATGTTCCATTTTCACATGCAACTGTACTCCAATGTATTATCAAAATGGACAATTCCCTCACAAGCAGTGGCGGCTCTAAGATATATTTTCCGGAAGGCGGGTGTGGTGCTCTGTCCGACAGGGGAGCTTGTAGGCCCGAGCAGGGGGAAGGGGTTGAGAAGGGGCCCCTCCCAAATGAGATTTTTTTTAAATAATAGGAACCTCTGGGATGGCCGGAAATAGCACTATCAAACTGTGACAGATATGTGTTGGCTTAAGTGTGGGCCTTTTTTTATATGTTTTATGCTCTGACTGCCCGACGAGCTCTGTCCGACTTATGGGTTTGACCTGTCCGGTGGGGGACTTAAGCAAGCTCCCCTGTCCCCCCCGCTGGCGCCACCACTGCTTACAAGAACTATCCGACAGAGACTCACGCAAAACATTTCTACAAAGAGGTTCTTTAGAAAAAATTAATAACAAGGTAACTATAACATCCTCAATGATTGAAACACTTAACTCTATGCCTCGCCACCTTTCACACACTCATTTAACATCGTGTGGAGCGCGGGTATAGAGTATGCTAGTTCTTGCTAAACAAAACGACAACGTAAATGCATGACGAGAAGCGTGTTTGTAGGAGAACACGTGGGGTATTTTGTACAAACACACAGGCCTATCGGGCCCTGTTCTGATTGTTTTGGTTTGGTTGACACTCAAATGTCTCTAGTGAGCAGTACTTTAAATATAAAATAAACAAAGACAAAATATATCAAAGGTGCGTTTGCGTAAGTCGGTAAGCTGAGTAAATATTCTTCAAAAGTATTGTATCCGTCAATGTATCGATTAATGTCGGTCAATGTTCATTGATCCAATGAAAGTGAAAAAAAATTGTGAATCACACTTTCAGACCGTGTCACGGGTTGGTAGTTTTTGAATATGTATGCTTACAGTGTATATCTAGAAACTCACTTCAAAGCGACATGTGCAACTCGAACGTTGATGACGTCACTAACCTTATAAACATTTCAACAAGTCATTGAACACTGGAGTAATGGAGTAAAGATTTTTTGAATATATTAATTAAATAATAATCATGTATATTTATAAAATGTGAATTGCAATCTGTTATATCGATATAAATGTCGTTAATTAGTTCTAATCATATGTAAATGCAATAAAGTTTCTTTAATCCTGATTTTCCTACAAAATACAAAGGATTATGACATCATCAAGTGCGTAATCACTTTGAACAATTCCTTGAAGTTGTTAATGTTATTTTTTCTATAATTGTTAATTCTGTTATATATGGAAATGTTGAAGATTAGTTTGTTTACGGATGTTTCATTAAGCACGTGGGCTTTTTAAACAATTCTTTGAATCCTGTATTAAAATACTTTATATTATAAGAGGCCTTTATAAGTGCTATATTATGCTAAGCTACTATATTTGTATTTATTACAGGGTTCAAAGAATTGTTCAAAAGGGAATTAAAATTGCCAGAAATACCCTATTTAAAATAAGACTTTAAAAATTCATTGGTTACTTTTCCGAGTGTTCACACCGAATAAATCGAATTAAATCAAATCGAATCCAATACATTTCTTATATCAACATAATTGTTGACAATTAAGTATAATGTTTTTTTTTAAAGTATGATGATTTTAATGCGTAGGGGGCTGACGTCATAAAGCACGTAAATAGTTTAAATATTACTCTATTTTTCATGAACCCTCTATTTGTACGCAATTTAGCAGAATGACGTTGTTGTTTATGGATGATTGCCTACATTTGTCAATCTTTTACCTTCACATTGCAATTTGAAAAAATATTAAAGAAAGATTAATAAATTACAATATAATAGTCTGTTATATTAATATAAATTCTGTCTAATTATTTTTTTAAAAAGTGAAGGATTGTGACGTCATCAAGTACCTAAATATTTAACATTATATCCTTTTATAGGCCTATATTAGCGTGTATTATGAAATACTTTTATTTTAATATAAAAATGTTTAAGGTCGACTATAAGAATCAGAATTACAGAATCCAACATCACACTGATTCATAAGAAAGGTCTACCGACGAACCAGGAAACTTTAAAATGATTGCACTTTCTTCGTCCACTGGCAAGATCCTTCACCTTATTATCGCTCGTTGCCTTCAAGATTTCTTGCTCCAAAAAGTCCATTATTAATCCATTCACTCAGAAAGCGTTTATTATGGGAAATAAGTGGATGCATTGAGCACAATCGAGTCTTACACGAAGTGATAAAACATTGTAAAATCAAATACTAAACTGTTCATATTACTGGTTTGACCTGGAAGATGCATTTGGATCAGTTTCCCATGATCTTATCAGAATATCGCTTGACAGATGCAATATACTACCTATCATAAAGGCCTATGTTACCAACCTCTTCCTAAATATCTGGTACTGTTAGGGCAAAAGACTAGTCTTCCAACCAGTTCTTCTTCCACAAAGGCATTTTCCAGGGCGACCCTCTTTCCCCAATTATATTCCTTTTATGTTATGGTTTTATGAACCAATTGCCAAATTGAACACCTTAGGGAGAGGGGCGGGCCGGCAGGGCCCCCTTGAATCCGTCACTGGGTACTTTCGCAGATGGAGAATGTATACCACCTCAGCCCCACCATGTTGGGGCTACATAAGAAAATTTGGTATTATGGCACCTCTAGATGACCGGAAATTACACTCTCAGACTTTAAATTTGAATATAAATTTTCTTCACATCTCCATTAAAAAAAAAAAAGAACAATTTATCCCCCTCCCCCTTTTGAATCTACCACTGATTTCTTTTATAGGAGCCCGGAAATTGTACTTCAACTGTGGTGGGTCTAGAAAATCGAAATAGAGGGGACCCAAGGAGGGACTTGCACAGATGGAGTGTCCACCCACCACAGCTCCACAACGGTTGGTTTCGAGGTAAAACAAAACTTATCTTTATGGCCCCTCTAAATGGCCGGAAAAGGCACTCTCAGATTTTTGAATTAGGAGGTTGGGAGCCCCTTTCCAAATGGTAGGCCGGCTACGCCTAACCTAATTGGAGCCTGCTTCATCAAATGCGTTTAAATATAAGCATCGTGATTAGTAATTTTATCCATGGTTATTGTGGGCGCAGTATAATTTATGACGTATATATATTTGTATTTATAGTAGGCTACCACAATATTTGTCAGGATGTATTGAATTACACAATATCACGTGGACACGTTGAACTACAAAAACTGAATGTACAGTAAATCTGTGACTGCTATTTTAAGACATGTTTACACTTTAAGCTGTTAGATTAATTATCAATGTGTTTTATTTATCGCTGAGGGTTTACTACTTAAGTTTGAATAAAATATGGATGCTATGATTATTTTTTACGACCTGGTATTTTGATATAACGTTGAAGTTAATCACGTCCACAACGATCAGAAAAAAAAGTAGGTCAACTCTAAATGACCCACCTTATTATAAACATTTTTAGGCGTCAGTGCGGCACTTATTCGAGAGGGCCGAATTTTAATTGAGTGTTGACTCACTGGTACGCCTCTCATCCATATGATACCCTATGGTATCATTAATTTCGTGAGAAACTGAACCGGTTAATAGTTTACTCGATAGTTTCTCGGTAATTATGAATATAGCCTAGGTTAATGATTTGCTCGAAAGACGGTGCTCTATTAAAAATTTGCGTTTCAACTGAAACACAAGTACAGCAGAAATGGGAATTGAACCGGGGACCATATCTACACGATTCAGCACACACACACTCAGGCCCGTTCACATGATTTTTATTGGATGGGTGCTTATTTGTGGACCAAAGTTGCTCCGTGGGTGGTGGGGGGAATTTTTGATTGGGGTCTTATTTAAGCGATTTCTGAAGACCTGTATGTATTAAACGGTATTTAGTGGCGGACCCCGGAATTTAAAGAGGGGGCCAAGAAGGGATTTTCACAGATGAAGGAAATCATTTATGATTATGGCACCTCTAGAAGGCCGGAGGTGGCATTCTCAGACTTAAATTTGAATATAAATTTCTTTTCTTTTTAAAAATAATTTTGACAAATCTAGGGGTCACGGGGACACAACCACTGGGAACAGTGGCGGCGCCAGCGGGGGGACAGGGGACTTAAGTCTTTCACCGGACAGGTCAAGCCCCTCCCACTCCCCCTGTCGGACAGAGCTCGTCGGGCAGTCAGACCGTAAAAATATATATATAAATATGCCCACACCAAGCCAAATTTTAGGTGTAAGCTGTGGCACGGAGACCTCTGACGATTAGTGCCTAAAAATGTTTACAAAAACGTAATGCAGTAATGGCATATTGAATATATTATTATATATTTTCGGAAAATATTTCAGCCGCTCTGAATCTCTTTCCTATTCTTTCTTCTTCCTTTATTCTTTCACAATTTGCGTATATTCATACTTTTTATTCATAATTTTATACACTACACACAGTCACTAGGTTTAGGTCAGGCTAGGCCTCGGCTATGCCTATTACTATATTATTTAAATATACAATTTTAATAGATAATGTTAATTTAACAAGGACGTAGTAATTCATATATAAATGATACATTAAATTTAAATACAAATAATATATAATAACGTTAACGAATAAATAACAATAATTTAAAATCAACAGCAAATGAAAGTAATCTGTGTCCAATGGTCTTAGTGTTGGTGTTTCATTCTTTATTTATATAATTTTAACACTGGAAGCTATCGATTTTCTATATGTATATATTTGTATGCATGTATACTGAACAGAATAAAGTATTGAATTGAATATGAATGAACTTATATTGAACCCCATCCACGTCACACATGCATATTTTTTCTGTTGTATTTATAATTTAAAGTAACATTTTAGTTTAAGTAGCGGTACCTATATTGTATCGTATACAGTATTATCATTATTTATATTATATTTCTCCTATAAAAGTGTTTGTCTTATGACCAGCATTTTCTTAAATCTACCTATTATGGTAGTTGATTTTTATTATAATTGTATCGTTCAGTACATAGGCCTAGCAGAAGTAATTATTTTTTCATCTATATATTTATAAAATATGTACATTTGTGTATATAAATTATAATACTAGGCCCTATGCCATATTCATGTTACGCAATATAAGGAAAGAAACGCTCTAGTTCTTCTCGTCGACGAAAGCCTATTGGTAAGTGTATGTCTGCCGTACGTACGGTAATTAATCAGTCTCGTTTGTTTTTTAATATAATTTTATTGTTTCGATTGTTTATGCATGCGTCTACTTATTGGAGGTTATCTGAATAAATTGAAATTGACATTGAAATTATTTTATGATTAAATTTATAATTTCATGTGTGGAAAAATAAATAAAACCAACAAATTATGTGTATGCAATTAATGAATATGAAATTTTTGGACAAGAAAAATGATTTAATTAATTGATTGATTGTCATAATTAGGCCTTATCATCATCATCCTGATTCTGGTTAGCTTTCTAATATGGTATACCCTACTTAAACTGAAACAGGAAATAGGCCCATTAACACTTTAAAATAGCCTTTAGTCATGTCATTTTCAATAGGCATAGCCTATTCTTTAATCGTTTCTATTTACTCTATTGTTATATTGAAAGTAAAACTGGGCATATTTATTTTAAAGTTATAAATAGCGCTAAGCATTGAAGTCGCTCACCTTTTTACGTTATCGACTTATCGCTTTGATTTGGAATTAGACATGGAATTGTTGTTTATTACAATTGTCACATCATGACTTCCAATGACGTTACAATCAGTTACATTAGGATGACGTAATTCATTCATATATGACGTACCAAACCGTCTCTTGTAATTGGTTGACAATTGTCATGAACAAATAAAAGATGTCGACGTACTCCTCCACCAGGAACATCAAATAATTTATCTTACATCAGTGTATGTTAATTATTTTATTACGGTCCACAATAATTACAGTGATGAGAAAAAAAAACAATACACTAGATTTTCTGAAATCGTTATTTTTTCAAATATGATTTTTAATGATGGCACTAACTGTTGGTTGCCTGGCAACAAAATAGACAGTTGCATGAACAAATAAAAGATGTCGACGTACTCCTCCACCAGGAACATCAAATAATTTATCTTACATCAGTGTATGTTAATTATTTTATTACGGTCCACAATAATTACAGTGATGAGAAAAAAAACAATACACTAGATTTTCTGAAATCGTTATTTTTTCAAATATGATTTTTAATGATGGCACTAACTGTTGGTTGCCTGGCAACAAAATAGACAGTTGCATGAACAAATAAAAGATGTCGACGTACTCCTCCACCAGGAACATCAAATAATTTATCTTACATCAGTGTATGTTAATTATTTTATTACTGTCCACAATAATTACAGTGATGAGAAAAAAACAATACACTAGATTTTCTGAAATCGTTATTTTTTCAAATATGATTTTTAATGATGGCACTAACTGTTGGTTGCCTGGCAACAAAATAGACAGTTGCAGTCACTTAACCAAATTGACGACATCAAAATAATTGTTCTACTTAAGCTTACTATTATTTTGACATTCTAACGTGAAAAAGTATTATGATACAGATACACTGCATTGCCATTCACATTTTTCCATGAAAGCTACAGTTCAACGGTAATGTAGGAAAGAGAAAAAACAAGACAAAAAAAACAAAAACATAATTGCTATTCATGATATTTCCAACTTCGTATGTACAATAATGTTTTCAACTTTTTAATTATTTTATATAAGTTTGCAATTTTTATATTTTCTTCAATTTAATGTATTTGATGTTATTTTCTGAAATCTTCTTCCGCAATAATGAAACCAACCATTAACTATGTTATAAATGTGATAGATAGCTAGGCCTATATGAATTAACATCGTAAATGAATCGTATAATGCGCACCCAAGTTTTCTTAATTCAACACTATATGTTGGACACACTGAGCTTGTAAGATTCTTTTAGCCTTCGCTGTTTCCAACTGTTGTTATCTTTGCCTAAACCTACTTTTTAGGCGTTGTTAATTTACGGCGGTCGACAGTTTTCTGGAAAATACAATTTTTGAACATTTATAATTTAGTAGGCCTGTTTCAGGAACATTTATATTGAGATGTAAGAAAAAACAGTTGTTAAAGTTTAAAAAAAGAGTCGACTTTCATTATTAAAATAGACCTATTTTCAATGTCCGTGATGACTCCAGGTGCAGTCGCAACTACCGGCCTGTAAGGGTCAATGTTAAGAATTTAGTGAGTCAAGAGCAAACTAAGTGGCGTAATGAAAATGCCTTGGCTCTGTCTAAGGTTTTTCGGGCCGGGAGATGCAAAGTGCTACAGTGAGGTATGGGAGAAATCCCTTTTAGTCCATTTTTGTGTTTCTTACGTTCTGTTCATGAAAGCCCCGCTCGGCCGATTTGGGGCCATGTTCCATGGTAAAGAAAACTCTGATTAATATTCTTGGGTCCCTTGAGTTTAGCCCTGGCTCTAGCCAGTGAGAGCTCATACACCTGGTAGAAACTCATTGCCACAGAGGTGGTTTAGGACGACAGGACGATAAAAAGTATGACTATTCTAATTATGAACTGCATCATAATATCTTGGATCGACTAATTAATATTTCTAGGAATACCGCCTTTTGTTTAGAATTTTAAAATTACGAGCCGGTTTTAATGATGACGTATTCTCGTTTAACAATAATTTAAAAAAAATAACAAATTTGAACTATAAAAGATTCCTGTTTAAACAGATATTAATTATATTCAACATATGCATCGTTTGAAAACTTACTGGTCCGCATCTGGAAAATTGTTCATTTTCCGTATTTAACAAAGAGGTAATACGCTTTTCCATTCTGCATTCTTCTTTTGACTCTGGGCAAACGCATCCCTCTTCGTTACAATCTTCATTATCGCCACACTGAAGAATTCATGTAATAAAACAAGAAAATACAATACAATTTAGTATTAATATGTTACATTATTAATATTAATAACACAATTAGACAACTGTGTTTTCTCAACACAGAAACCTCTCGCATTTGAAAATGGGTGTGATAGGTGAATCCATCAACCAAAATACAATCCTAGGATCGACATGAATATATTATACGAAGCCCGTGTCTATATGGGGTACCTTTGTCTTGTTTAGGTTTAGGCTGCGACCCATTCAGATCTCCCATTTTGAGACGACCCTCGGCATAAAACTCATAGCTGGCAAGTGTAAGTAAGTACTATTGTTTACATATTGGGTTCAGGCTGATGTTTTTTTTACAGAAATTAACGTGGTAGAAACCTCTTAATTCTGTTTTTTATCACATAAGAAACGCAAATTTTTCAGGCCTTCCACAAGGCTTGCTCCCCCACAAATTTTACCTTGGCTGCACCCTTGACAATTATAGATTTTAAAATATGATTTAAGACGGCGATTAATAAAAAATCATACAATTTAGGAAACTTTTGATTGTGTTAGTGACACGACTTTATCCAAAGAAAAGAAATGTTTTGGCGACGCAAATTTGCAAAAGTTTGGAAACCAGAGCAATAGGACATGATGTAATGTAATGTTCTCCCCAAGGGTCTCTTCGTATCTGGGCTACTTGGTAAACCGGTACCAGTACTCTCATTTGTACCACAGCGAGGGCTGAATTGACCAATTCCCAGGTGTAACCCCCTACTCGTCCCGAAAGATGTACTAGATTCTTTAAAGTGCACATGAGTCACTTTGTATACATGTCCTTGTCCGAGAAGACTTGTTCCACCATTAGAACCGTTCGAATCAGTGCCGATATTATGGATGAACGTTGCGGTGCCCCTGCCTTAACCACTCGGCAATCCAACTCGCCACAAGTAAACCTGTTTGTAAATTTTGATAACATTTTGACCTTATCTTAGATTTATATGATGTATTATTTGCGAACAGAATTTATTTAACTTGTATACTTGCCAGTCTTACGCATCTACCCAACTTCTCGCTGCACCCCTTTGACTCAGGACAAATGCATACCGGTACTCCCTCTATGCTGCAATCTTCATCTTCACCACACTGAATCCATGTAATAGAAACAAAACAAAAAACAATACAATTTAGTACTAATAGTTACATTATTAATATTAATAACAGTATTAGACAACTGTGTTTTCGCAACATAGAAACCTCTCGCATTTGAAAACGAGTGTGATGGGTGAATCCACCAAGGACAATACAATCCTAGGATCGACATAAATATATTATACGAAGCGTGTGTCTATATGGAGTACCTTAGTCTTCAAAATTGTTTAGGTTTAGATTGCGACCCATGTTCAGATCCCCCATTTTGAGACGACCCTCGGCATATAACTGCATAGCTGGCAAGTGTAAGTGCTATTGTCTTTAGAGTCCACACTCACCTCGGTTGTTTGGACCTTGAGGTGAGCAAATGTTAAGAATAATGCACTAATGGATTGGATTTCTTCGGTGTAATACACACCAATGATAATCCGCGAAAGTCCTGACAGATTTCCATTGTGGTCCTTCTGGTGGTGAATTGGGCAGACACCGGATTTTTTTCCGAAGAATATACCGTACTGCGTTCTTTATCGTGCACATAGGCAATTTGCACACGGAACCAACGGTTTAAACGTCTCATTCCAAAGACGATGCACCTTTGAAACTTGCATTCCACCTCTCCCCAGCTAAAACAAATAGTGCAGCGATTTAAATTGAACCGGGGACCTAAAGATCTCCACGGTTCAGCGCAAGCAAGCAAGTAAGTAAATTCTTATAATAGAAATGCAGTTTGGTACAGTATTGGTTTGCGATTGGGAAGGAACAGTGACGTATCTAGAAGTTGGCGTGAGGGCATGGGCGCTCCCGTCACCCAAAAATACACCACTGAAAGTTTGTTTTGAACAAAAAATGGCATTCAAGTTCAAAATCGTTTAGCAAAACATTATGCTATTTCCAGGGGCGCATCAAGATAGGATCGAGGCTATCCTGACCCCCTCAAATGAATTTTTTTTTAAATATATCACGATTATAGTAGTAAGTGATCAGTAATGTGAAAAAAATATATATATTATGAAGGCACCTCCTTTTATTATGATTTACAAAGTAACTTAAAAATAAGTCAACCTGTGTTTTGTTTTTTTTTGTCATCGCTTCATTTTATTATGGAACGACGTGCTACATAATATTTTCCTATACTTATTAGAATACATTTCCTATACATTTTTAGTTAAATAATTTTTTTTTTGCGAGATGAATGTATAATACACAATGCCTTACTGTACATATAGGGCCTATAAGCCTTACTGTATATATATTATCATGTGTTGTGTTAAGGCTCATCCGGACTCGAACAGAAAGAAAAAAAACTTAACATAAAAATTGGGAGAACTGAATTCTGGTGTTACCCGAAAACAAATTTGATATGTTGCATTTTTACAAGTGTTCCAAATTTATTTACTTATCGTGTTCAGGTTGATATTTTTATATTAGAGGTTTTATAGAAATTAACGTGGTAGAAACCTCTCAATTCTGTCTGTTATCACGTAAAGTAACACAAATATTCCGGGCCCTTCGCAAGGCTGGACTACACCCCCACAAATTTTATCCTGGCTGCTCCCCTGACAATAGTCAAATAAAGATGATTTAAGACGGCACTTAATTAAAGATAGAATTTAGGCGACTCTTGAACAGATTATGTTAGTATCAACTTTATCTAAAGAAAAGATAAAATGTTGGCGACGCAAATTTACAGAAGTTTGAAAACCAGGGCAATAGTACATGTAACGTAGTTATAGTGTAGTGCTTTATACCAAAACGGTCTCAGCTCGATGTGCTGAATAGCTCTTACAGTTAAACTTGCTTCTCCCATAACGGTCTATTCGTGCCTGGGCTACCTGGTAAATCTTTACCACATCCAGGACTGAATGGATCAATACACCGGGGTAACACCCTACTCGTCTCCAAAGATGTACTAGAAGTACACAAGAGCTAAATTGTGTACAATGGGCCTACGGTTTATAGTAGTCCTTTTCCGATAAGACTTGTTCCACCACTAGAACCATAGACGAGCGTGCTGTTCGAATCAGTGCCGACATTATGGCTGTACGTTTCGGCGCCCCTGCTTTAACCCTCGGTCGCCCAACACGCTACAAGTAAACCTGTTCGTAAATTTTGATAATATTTTGAAATTATTTTAGGTTACGAAAGGATATTTGTCAAGAGAATTGATGTAACTTGTATACTTGCCGTTCCGTCAATTCCGTCTTCGGTTCTTTCACACCAGGCGAGGCAGACAAATACGAGTATGAGAAAGAGACTTTTCATCGTGACGTTCAAAGGGTTTCTAACTTTAAAATGCTGTTTTCAAATTCGGCGTGGTTGAACGAGTTCGCATTTAAATGGTGATATTGAGAACAGGAGGACAATGTTTGTTAATAAACGCCCAAAATCAACTTGTTTTAAAATAATGTCCTAAGTTTAGCTTCTATTAATCGATAACATGAAGTGTTTGACATTTGCCGAATTAATCAATACGTTACTATAACATAAGTGCACAATGACACAGCCAACTGTATCTACTGGTGTATCTTGCCAATGGATTCACGGACAAAACACAAGAAAAATAGCTTAATAAACTAAACTTAGACCTAAATTTATATTAGAGCTATATTCAGAAAAGGTAAATGAAAGAAAACAGAAATACTATTGGCTACGTATTACATTGCAAGCTGAGCTAGTTAATTTATACCAAAAGTTGAAAACAAAAAGATATATAAACATTCTGTCGTGTGTGGCGCTTTATGACAACGATAGCCGCAACAAAAAATCCAATACAGAAGGATGAAAATGAACGGTTTTCATGATTTTGTACATATTGCACAATTTGTAGCGAATTGTCCCTCAACACCTCCAGCTATTAGAGCTGTTGACCATAGCAGAGTGCCCGGGTGGTCGCATCCCTAGGGGTCGGATTGATCAAACTAGAAGTCAGCTTAAATTCGTCTGAAGTCCATTTTTTTTGTTGCTTAAGTCCGATTTATCAATATTGCTTAGCTTAAAAATAACTTAAAATTAAAAAGTCTATTGTACGCATGCGCCATCTAAGACGATTTTTAAGTTAAGACATTGCTAAGATGATTTGATAAATCAGCTTAAGATATTTGCTTAGGGGACATCTTAATTTTTTTTTAACTTATTGCTAAGCTGAGATTGATAAATCCCGGACCTGTTTCTCAACATTCAGACTCGGGTTCACGTCATGATTTGCTGAGGTGAGGAAATTTTGATGATACGGCCTGGGTCTAGGTGCCCGGAAGGCAATCTATAAAATGTTTTCCGTTGGTTTCTAAAAGTGTACTCCTAAAAGTCAAAGTCCTTAACAATAATTTTACCGCCCACCCCTTTAAAATAGGAATTTGTTTAAATTATTTTTATTTTATTCATTTCGACATAGGTCTATATAAATAAAAAAGACAATATGGTAAGGTCACATATCAACCCACATATCAACGCAAAATATATCATAGAAATTTAATGTGTTGGTCATATAGTTCGACATTGTTTGTTTTCGTTTGTTAGTTTTCTACCACAATTCGTCCCAACGTGAGGTAAATATTGATCATCCGTAGTGCAGCACCTGTGGATTTCAAGTAGTTATACTATGTAGGCCTAAAGTCAATTTTAACTTTCATTTCAACATATTGGAGTAGTATCGATCCGAGTGCGCGCACGTCACCATATACATGAACAGCGACGGCGTGTATTGAAGTCGTTGACTAGTTGACGTAATATGTTGGGTTCAACATAGAAGGTATAAGTATATATTATGTTATGACTTCATGTTGGGCCCACTTATGTTTTGTTAACTATACCTATAATGAGGTTATAGCTCATTTAAAGTGTCAAATATCAAATATGTTAGTTGAATTAAATATGGAATTGAATTCCAAGCTAATCAACTCCACGTTGCCATGCCATGTTGCTTCAGCATTGAGAAGAGCACTGTCTTTAGTAGTTAAGTATTATCGTATCGTTTTTTGAAAGGAAAAGTTTGAAACGAAGCTTCAAGTGGTGAAAAATAATAAAAAGTTTATTATATTGTTACATCATGACGTTTTAATGACGTTGCAAGCAGTCACAAAGCTGTACATTAGGATAACACAATTCAGTCATCTATGACGTGCAAACCGTCTCTTGTGATTTGTGGACAATGGTGATAAACAATACAAAATGTTGACGTCATCCTCCCACCACCATAAATTACGGTCCACAATAAAGTCGGTGATGAGATAAAATGATACACTAGATTTTCTGAAATCGTTATTTTTTATAATATGATTTTTAATGATAGCACTGAATGTTGGTCGCCTAGCAACAAAATAGACAGTTACAGACACTTCTACACTGACGACATCATAATTTTCCTAGACCGTTTTCCACTAAAAGAATTTATTTGCTCGAATAAAAAAATTTCGCCTACACGCATGCGCAGTTTCACCACAAGATTCTCAGTTACGCATTCGTATGGGTAAACATGTTGATGCGAGCGAATAAGTTCGCCAAGTGGGAAACGGCATTTAACAAGTATTATGATGTAGGCTATTTATTATTTTCTGAAATCTTCTTTCGCAATAATTACCATTAAATATGTTATTTTAGATAGATAGATGAATTAACACCGCAAATGATGTTTTGTAATAATATATAGGCCTATCTAATATTAAAGGCTGAGATAAACATTACAATATGCACATTTAAATCACGTAGGTCTATGTGTAAGACTATGTTTTTGATAAATAATCTTAAGTATGTTTTATTAACAATAAAATAATATATGCCTATGGTTGTAATGATTAAACATAGGCCTATCACTAATCGTTATTTCCAATTTTTTTTTTGTATTTCATTTTAATTTTTGTTCTTTTTATAATTGTTACTTGAGTTCCAGTAAATACTGAATGCATACTGAATACTGAATATAATTGTGCGCACCCAAGTCCTCTAAATACAACTCCTATGAGTTGCACATGCCAATCTTGTATTTAAGATTATTTTGCTTCGTTGTTATCGTCAGTACCATCTCTAGTTTTCTGGAAAATAAAATTTTTGAACAGTTAGTACTTCAGGAAATCTTAGATTGATATGTTTTACTAAAGTTAAAGTGACCGATTTTCATTTTTAAAATAATTGACCTATTTTCAATGTCTCTGCACGTGTCCATGAGGACTCCAGGTAGGCCTACAGCCTCCTACCGGGTCTCTCATGGTCCATGGGTTAAACAAATTATTAATAGCGAGGGTCAAGAGGAAACCCAATGGCGTAATGAAAATGCACTAGGCCGGTATAAGACTTTTTCGAGGCCGAGGGACGTCCAGTGCCCCAATGAGTTATGGGGGAAATTCCGTCCGCTCCGACGTTTTTTGATGTTTTAATGGCGTGTTTTTATGTTTCTTTACATGTTCTTTCATAAAAGCAGCCCCGCTTAGACGATTTGAGACATATGGTGCCGATAAAGAAAACTTCTGATGAATATCCATTAGGTCCAGGTCCTGGCTTTAGCGTGGTGGAGAGTTCAGGACGAAAAGTGATCGCAATATTTATGAATATTTAACTAAGTGAATTTAACTAACTGAATTCATTTCAATACAATTTAATCTTCAGTCGTCTTCTTCCTTTTGGGTTTTTATTATTATTATTATTATTATTATTATTATTATTATTATTAGTATTATTATTATTGTTATTGTTATTGTTATTGTTATTATTATTATTATTATTATTACTATTATTATTATTATTATTATTAAATTTTTCTTTATTATGAATATCATTATTATTATTATTTTTTTTTTCTATTATTATCTTTATTATTATTGTTATTGTTACTATTATGCTTATTGTTATGTTTCGCCATTATCATTGTTTCCATTGTCGTACAGGGACATGCTCCCCTTTTTTGCTATACCAGACTGATTACGTTTTGAGTTTTGAGTGAAATAAATTTATGAAAATGAATTATGAATTGCAGTCATAATATCCTGTATCAGCTAATTAATGTTTCTAGAAATACCGCCTATTGTTTAAAAATTTTAACTAGCCGGTTTTAAAGTTGATGTAGTGTCGTTTAGCAATCAACCTGTTGCTGTAGGCCTATAATACAATTTTTACAAAAGAAAATTTGAGCTAGTTAAGGTTCCTTTTTACACAGAAATTAATTAAATTCAGCTAGTGCAACATATAATTTTAAAAAAAACAACTTACTGGTTCGCATCTTCCTTTAATCGGAAAAGGAAACATGCAGGTTATACACGATTTAACCTTGCACTCATGTGACTTGGGGCAATCGCAGTCCCTGCTGCAATCATCACCTTCATTACACTGAAAAATTATGTAAATAAAAGCAAAAATTATTATTATTATTACGTTAAGGATACAATAGCACAAAAGCTATTCGCCTTAAGTCCGAGTTATCTATCTATTTCAATACTAGATACCGGAAGGGAATAGGCCTACTAGATCAACGGAATGAAGTAAACCTACTAAAAGTTCTTTAGATTTTAGAAAAGGCGTGATGTTATGGGTCGAAAAGACCATAACTTGCCAGTTTAAATTTGTAGAGGTTTTGACACAACCAAATGTCTGTAGATTTTTTCATGATAAGGAATTATGGAAACCAGAAGGAAGCATATTACATAGTAAACCTGTTTGTAATATTGTGAAATCATCTTATAAACTTCAATATGACCGGCCTAGAAATCTACGTGTAGACCTATTAGTCAACAGAATTGATTTAAATTGAGTACTTGCCATTCTTTTAATTCCGTCTTCGGTTTTTACACACCAGGCGAGGCAGATGAACACGAGTAGGAGGAAGAAGAGGCGTTTCATCGTGACGTTCGAAAGGTGTTTTTTTTTTCTCAAATGCGGTTTTCAATCGTTGTTGTCAAACGAATTGTCAACATTTAAATGGTGATATTGAGTACGTACTGAACAGAGAATACAATATTTGCAGTTGATAAACGCTCCAAAACACTTTGTTTTAAAATAATGTCATAAGTTTGTCTTGTATTAATCGATAACATGAAGTGCTTGGAATTTGCCGATTTAATCAATACGTTACACGTGACACACCAGCCAACCGATATCCAGTAGGCCTATTGTGTATTTGGCCAATGGATGCATGGCTAAAAGAAAAATAGCTAAATGAAAATTAGGCCTACATTATTTATATATCTAGCATAACAAATAAATAAAAGAAAACAGAAATAATGAGCGTAGGCCTAATACATTGCAGTCTGAGCTAGTTAATTTAGACCACAAAAGTTTGAACAAAAAAGACTTTCCGTGTCACGCGTTGTGTGGCGCTTTTACGACAACAATCGCCGCAACAGAAAATCCAACACAAAAAGGAAGGAAATAAACGATTTTTATATTTCTTATACTTTTGTTTAACAATTTCACATGCTCAGACTGGGTGTCCACGTCAAGATTAGGGTGAGGCGGCCCGGCTCTAGATGCCCGGAAGGCAATCTTATACATTTTTCCCCGTTATTTCTAAAATTTAACTCCTAAATGCCAATTTAAACCGTTAACAATATATATATATTTTATTATTATTATTATTATTATTATTATTATTATTATTATTATTATTATTATTATTATTATTATTATTATATATATATATATATATAATATATATTTTTATTACCGAAACCTTGAAAACAAAGTAAATATCAACCCAAGGGATAGATCTTTTTGTCTGTAAATTGAGCTTTGTTTCGTTACTTTAATACGTTTTCTGTGTAATAAATAATGTGAATCAGTTTGAGAGCAATAGCCGAATTGTAGCATACCTAAACAAGGAAGGATATAGTCGTTGGAAGTCCAGCACATTCGACTCTGGACCTCAAAAATGTATCGATGAAAATAGGTCTTACCACGTCTTGGAGATCCAAGAAAAAACAGACTCTTATTCGATGGAACCGTTTTAAAACCTAGACGCAACTAATAAGAAAAACCTATATATGCATTTTTTTTTTTTTCAAAATGATGCCTCAAAATATAACGGTTACAAAGTTGGGAAAAAAACCCCTCCCAGGTTCCAATTAAAATAATGCGTTGGTCGTAGTAGACATTATTTGTTTTCGTTTATTAGTTTTCTACCACAATTCGTGCCAACGCGCGGTCAATATTGATCATCCGTGGTTCAGTTAGCACCTGTGGATTTCGTGCAGTTCATTTTACTATTTATACTCTGTAGGTAGGCCTGAAGTCGATTTTTAACTTTCATGTTTGGCATACCAAGCAGTGAGAGGAGAGATGTTTTTGAGAAGTTGAGTTGTATAATTTTGAAAACTAACGAAAAGATTAAAAGCATGGTGGAAAATGATAAAAAGATAGGCCTAAAAAAGGTTCGAAACTTGAAGTAGGCCGGAGTGTCCATCTCTCTTTCTTTAGCGTTTGGGCCAAACTAAACTTGAAGTAGGCCGGAGTGCCCATCTCTCTTTCTTTAGCGTTTGGGCCAAACTGTGCAAAGCTGTGGTGGGTTCACCACTCCTCCCACAATGCAGTCTGTTTTACCTTACCAGCATATGCCAGTACCCATTTATACATTTAAGGACACAAGCGACTTGCACAGCGAGGGTTTCGAACCCCCGACCTCAAGGTTGAGAGTTGCGCCAACCGCTTCTACAATATTTTTATCCAAACAATAATATCACTTTAGATATAAATTTCATTAATTGTTTGTTGTAGGAAGAAGCCGTTTTTAAATGCCTGTTTTAGTATATTTGTCTGAAATGGTTTATATTGTATATTGTCCTGTTTGAGGGTGAAAGTTGGCGTCAATAACGTTGTGTCACCTTATACACGTTCGTGTGTCTGCTGTTGTTAATCATAAAAGACCTTTTGAATAACAATTGCATGTCTACTGCTGTATTAGGTATTACAATTAGAGTTGATCACATGATGTATAACAAGTGAAGTAGGATGTTTGTATTTCAACAGAATCAATGGATGATAAGCCAGTCATCAAATAAGGCAGTAGCAATATTTCAAAACTACGTTTTTAGCAAAATTGAAATGACGCCAAAAAAAAAAAAAAAAGTGAAAGGATGCAAAAAAAAAAAAAACTACATGAAAATATGGAGATACAGTAATATAAAAAGTTTTATTACAACTTTTATTTTCTGACTTTTCTCGCGTAAAACACACAATCTGCATTATTAAGCCTTTTTCACTACAGTTCCTCAGAGGCAAAAGCACAATAACATAATATTTTGTGTATATTATGAACAGTTTCGTTCCAATTGAAGCTCTGTTCATTTACACAAAAGATCAAGAGGACGATTGATTTTATGGTGAATATTCATTCACATTATCAAAACATGAACTGGGGAGTTAAATAAAATTATTGTTTTGCATTGCATATCAGTTTTACACAAATATGTATTTTATCATCACTGTTACAATCATATAATCGTATAGTATATGAATATATAATGATGACGATAATACAAATAATGTTAAATAAGACGTATAACGTTTTCATCTTTCACATAAAATTTAGATAAACAATATTTATCTATAAAATTTTATATTCCATCATATACTGTTTACTTGTAAACAATATATCACTGATGTTGTATAATAATACCATAAGCATACAGATTTAAGTACAATAGACAATTTATGGTACTGTACTGTACATTATTGCTAACATATTTATGGCCACATGTAACATTCTATGTACCATAGTAAAACTCGCTAGTGCATACCAATACGTTTTACACACATACACTTATAAAATATTTTGGCCTACCTGGCTCCTACATCAATCATAATCAATTACATTTTCACACATGCCTTTCATAGCTTTCATACTATAGCACACATATCAAACACATGCATACAAACCAACACTCAAAATAATGTTCACTATTATAAAATAATACAATAGAATCCAGGACAGACGGAGTTTACAGACAGCTAACAGCTAAATCATAACAGCCATTTTCTGTATGAACAGCCTTTGGCTTAGTTCAAACTAGGTGGATAAACCCGGCTCAACTCACCGGGTTTATCCACCTGCCAGTCTGAACTAGGTGGCTTATCTCAAGCCGGGCTGTGTTCCTATAGTAACTAGGCTTGGCGCGCCACCGTGTTTAACTTTTCTAAGCCGGGCTTTAATCGATGCGGGGGCTCTTGCATTGACTTCGGGTGACGAAATGACCAATCAGCATTCAATTATGTACGCTGTGAGTGAGCGTACGTTTCGCGAGCAATGTTTTGAAACATGTTTCCAGGTTACAATTCATTATTATGCAAATTCTCGCCTGGCTAAACCCGCTAGTCTGAACACCCGGCAAAGTTAAGCCGGGCTTAACGTTGAGCCGGGCTTAACTCAAGCCTGGCTTATCTGCAAGTCTGAATGTAGCCATAGTATACTAGCAGTGGGTTTAACCCGTCAGGATTATTCTCATCACTGCTACACTCCCCAACCCTCTTGGAGACTTAGCTGTCAAAGTGTATGAGCCAGCATAGCACAGTCAGTTAAAACTGATGGCTTCCACTATGTGTAATGGAGCCAAAATGGTGTAGTAACATATAACCAGAAGTGGCCCCAGTGGGAAAGGGGGGGGGGGCAGAAACACAATTCACCAGGGGAAACACTATTTGTCTGGGAAAAAAATTATATGTATTTCTTTAAATAATAATATATATGAGGTTTTACGGTAGTTTATTTTAAATAAGTACACAAGGAGGAGTTGATTGATTGAGTGAATTCACACTTTGTGATTTGGCCATATATGTGTGTGATACCACATCATCATGCCCTTATGTAGCAAAAAAAAAAACAACTTCATAGTGAGCACAATGCTTTCAACAACAATGGAACAAGTGAAGCATATATAAAAACATGCAATTCAATTTTGTTTTTATAGTAAATGCTTTTGCAAGGGTCGTTCAACTCATTTGAATTGCCAGCTGTCGCATTTTTGTGCTTTCTCCACCTCCAATGTTTCTATGGTTCCATCATTCTCACCATCTTCTATGTTGATTTCCTTATTCACATCTCTGGTTAGCACCTCCAAACCGGTGTCTGTTATAAGAATGGTGTGTTCAAATTGGGCAGATCTATTAAACATTGAAATGAAACAAATATAGCGATATATAAAAATATAGTAAAAAATAAGCTTAATTTTCCTTAATTAAAAATGTGCATTAAAGCTATAATAACTATAATAATAGGTAGTTTTCGCAACCTTAATAAAACGCTAAAGAACACAAATACATCATCTTCATTATCGTCATTCGTGCCTAAAACATTCTTAATAATATGCTGTGTGAGCTGAATATGTCCCTTGATTCATGTAAAAGCCATGAATTGCTTACATTATGACATATACTACAGTAGGGGATAGATTGTCTAAACATCTGATGACGTAGCCGTATTCATTAATGTTTTCGTAAGTTTGCGAAACCTCCTAATAACAATAGCAATAATAACAACAATAAAAATAATAATCACATTATCAGTAACAATATCAATACTAAGAAATAATAAAAACTACAACATTATGGAATAATTTAGCAATAACAATATCAATAACATTATTAAATATAGTACTTCCATAGTGAGTCCAAACTGTTTGTTCTAATGACCAGGAAATAATGTAGAGTACTTTGAGGCCTTGTCACTATATATGATCAATGAGGTATTATATACGACTATTCTACCTTTTTTATTAAACTGATATCATTATTAAGTATTATTAAGATTATTTTCAGTGGCAGATCCAAGAATTTAAAAAAGAGGTGGCTTGAGATGGCCAGAAATGGAACTCTCAAACTTAAATTTGAATCAAACTTTCATTTTTCCTCCATTTTGTTTTTTTAATTTCAAAATTTAGAATGGCCCCTTTGAATCTGTGTCTGATTGTTCATCTGATTTATTATTCGTGAAGCGACATCTCAGACAGTCGTTTAAATAAATTTTACCATTTCCAACATGCACTAAACAATTATTGGAAGAAAACTCAAAACCAGAAATATATTATGACGTTAGTTGATGAATAAGCCACAACGTGGTCTTTCAAATTTGTCATGCCTTGAATTTGACAGGCATTCTGAGATATTTGCACCATACAGGTTTAAACATTTCACACCAAAACATATTGACAGAGAAGTAAAAGTAAATACAAGCTAATTTCTGCCAGATGTATAAAAATGTCATTCAGAAAGTGGGAGGAGCTTCCAATAATAATGTTGCCTAGTAACAAAACTTGAACGTTTATATTGTTGGTCAATTTAGGTCACATGGCATTTACTGTTGCTATAGTCAGTTATATCAGCACTGAGGGGTTGGAATGGCAGTTACACAAGAGGTTGGAGTAAGAATCTATAATAAGACATTGCAGCTGACATCATATAGATAATGTACTTAATTGCAGTAAAACAATAATAACAAAATTTAGGTCAATTGACGTTGCGTCAAATTTGTTAACTCAGTATTGATTGGAAATACAATCTCCAGGATTTCAGTAAATTTGTTCAGTCTGGTCCTTCATTAGTTTGTAACTACTGTAGCCTGGAGCAAGACACATAACTGGTGAGCGTACACAATGCAGGTATCCTATAATCACAATATTCATCCATCAATCAAGCAATAATATTGTACTAATAATTAGTATTCCCTTAAGATTAGCTCAGTCTCATCTTGTTTCATCATTATTTATGTTTATGGAGATATAAATCTATGTTCATATACACAGAAAATATTCCAACTAAACATAGCCTGCTTTCTATCTCTATAATCAAAGTGGGATATAGGTTATGAAATATATCATATAAGCAATTAGCAAATCAGAATTAGGATCTTTTCATTTATAACAATCGTATATTCATCAGACAGTGAATGTTAAATTCTCTTACTGCTTGAAAGACCATCCAATTAAGATTCACTTTTGATTCTGAACAGTTCACAATTCCCCTAGATACCCACAAGGGTCCTGTTATTTGAGCACCCTGGGAACTAGGTATTCCCGACAACCCTGCCGATAAAAGGGTAAGTGGGTGTGGTCAGGTTTCACTAAAAATCTCTCGAAAGTGATCTGGGGGCGAAATTCCCCGGAAATTATGACAATTTAGGGGTTTCAAAGGCTTAATTAATCGATTCTATAGTCTACTAATAAGTAAAAATTACATGCAATTTTTTTTTCTCCCCGATGGGGAGGGGAAAATGCCTCCCCGCCATCGCCCCACCTACCCCCCACAGGTGCTGTTCTTTAATTTGAATGCATAATCACAGGAGCTACACAGGTCTTAATGTAGCTTCCTTTAGTGAATACTTGCATATAAAGAATTCTAGTCGCTGTTATCAGTTGACTGGAATAGTTATATCAGGTCACCAACGAGCAGGTTAACAGCATGACCCCTGGTTGATAAAGCTATAAAATATAGATTACTTTATACATATTGACCTTCAACTATTCAACAGAGCCAGGCACAATTAAAACTACATGATTTCTTTTTGTGAGATTTTCCCCATTTTACTAGACAGTATACAGTAGGTGTATATAACTGTACCTTTAAATGCTTGCATTTAAGCTTCATGTGTAGTAGCAGGCATTGCGATAAGCATTAAATATCAGTATACATCATAGATTTCATTTTCAGACCAATTAACATTTGATTGTATACAAAGTATTATAGTGGTCAGTGGAAATAGGCATAGGCTGTGTTCACACACACGGCGTAAGACTGGCGTGGCTTACGCCAGGCGTAAGCTAGTCCACGGATTAAAATTCCAAAGTGTTCACACAAACGGCGTTCGTTAAACTAGCAGTAATATAGGCCTATGTGGAGTGGAATAGTTTTCTGTTTTAAATAATGTACGGTACGTGTTAACAGTAGTAAAATTAACAGTGCATCATGAAAACTTTTAAATCTGTGAATTGTTCGAATTGAACTTATATGATTATTGTATTTTAAATGAACAATTTTACTTTTGATTTTTCAGCTAGCATTGTTGATTTTGCATGTTTTAATAGACAGTCTAAATGGTTAAAATATCTTACAAAACATAATCAATAAATCATATACATTATAACTAAGTAAAATGAAATAGAAAAGGAACCCCTTTACCATTTCATTTATAGAGAG